CAAAAATAAAAATATGGCAGTATTATGCAAGGTTTTGACTTGAAATAACAAAAATTTCAAAAAATATATATATAAACATTTCCAAAGTTATAGGTGTTTGTGTTGACCATGTTAGAAAACAAGGTCCTTGCGTTGAAAATCATAAGTCCTTGGAGATTCGTCTAAAATCGATCAGATAAAAAAAAATAGTTTTAAAAATAGATAATCCTGGGCCGGATCGAAGTTTTTTTTAACTTCCCGTAGGGCAAGTTATAGTAATCGCAAAAAAATCGAAAATGAAAATTTTTATATATCTTCACGTTTCAGAGGTTTCTAAATATTTTGGCATACCTTAGAAAAAATGGATGTATGTGTGTGTGTGTGTGTGTGTGTGTGTGTGCGTGTATGTATGTGTGTGGGGATACAAATTTTTATCGACGATTTTGGGAACACGGATCAACCAATTTGGATAATTCAAAAAACATTCGATTCGTTTTGATAAGGAGACGTGCTGATTAGTTTTTGGCGAAGGCAGGTCTAGCCGTTCCGAAGATACGGGGCAAAAAGTGCCGAAAACGGTCACTCGGTTTTTAAGAGAACGGAGCGTCTGATTTGAATAATTAAAAAAACATTTCACTTGTATTGATAAGATGAATTGATCAAATTTTCATTAAGGCAGGTCTAGCGGTTTCGGAGGTCTAACAAAAAAAGTAAAAAAATGCCATTCGGCGGTTAATAATGATCATTAGACATATGCACATTAAATTATCAGATATTTTATAGAGATTTTAACAATAAGCAATACGATTGCTTTGAAAAAAAGTTTAGAATTTCCAAAATATGTCAAAATGAAGAAAACATTTTTCTTTTCAAAAAAAAGTAATTTTTTGTCAAATTTATAGTTTCTCAATAATCTAATTTTTTCAAAGTAATATTTTTTCAAAAATGTTAATCGTTTTTATAAAAATAATAACTTTTGGTACGGGAAGTTCCAGCAATTTGCCTTAAGGCATGATGCCTTAATTGCCTTAAGACAGAATTCCACTTACAGCTAGTTTATTTTTTTCTTTTCAAAAAGTAATAAAATGGCGGCGCCAAGAAGTTCTTTTCTAGATTTTTGGGTAAAATTCAACAATGGTCTTAAAAGATCGAAATTTTTGAAAAACAGAAAATACTTTGATCGAGCCCGAGTCTATTATGCATTCTAAAAGCTGTATAAATTTCATTAAAATGTGTTGTGTGGTTTTTGAATTACAGTTGTCACCAGTCAAAAAAACATTGTTTTGAGATAAGCGCATTTAAAGTTTCACGTTAGATTTCCATACAGAAACACGAATTATTAAATTACTTTAACAGAGTCATCTATTCTTGGGCCAAATAATAGTTTTTCAGTCATTGTGGAAGTTTCTAAAAGGTTCATTTGCGCGCTGATCTGCCACTTTCACACGTGCAACATTCAATTTTTTAGCATACCGATATGAATCAGACCCGCAATTAAGTACTAGGGTTCATTAATAATCATATGTATGCACTAATTTGTACGATAGTAGAAATAGTATTCAGGGTTTTGGGCATATTTTCCTTACTAGGTGGTTGAAGCTCTTTACTCTCATTATTATTCTGAATGAATCCACCTACACATCTTGAAAGTTAATTATAATTGCTAAAATCGTTGTAAGTCAGTTTAGCAGCTTTTAAAACATCAGCAAGTAAGGAAGAATAATCTTGAGTATAAATATCAAGCTTTCCACTTGCTTCCGCTGGTAAGAGTCGAATAACTCAAAAAATAATTATTGGATCAACTTGAAATTTTCAGAGAATATTTTCAAGATATTGCACTTAACAAAAATGCAAAAAAACAAATTTTGCCTTTTTACAAATTCTGAGTACCTTTTACCCCTTAAATCTAAAACCAAGTAAAGTAATTATGTATTAAATAGGAACAACTTTCATCATTTATATTATTTATCAACAGTCTTTTTGTTAACGTAATTATTTGTTTTTTATTCTTCTTTGTAATTGTATAACATAATTTGCGAGTCAATTATGTAATCTGTTGTGTTTTTATATTTGATGTGATAATCAATTAGCAGTTGAATTGTGCTTTCATCTCAGCTAGATTTTATAATTTTAATATAGCAGCATCATGTTCACATTATACTGTACCACTTGATATAACACACTTATTTTATCATAAGATTTTTATTACACTTTTTTTATTTTATCAGAATTTTACTCATTCATCCATTTTAGGGAGCTTATAGTATCTTCAGGGTTCATAATTATTAGGTTTATTGCAGTAGACAAATTAGTTTAATTTATGTAAATACAGTAAAATACAATGCTCAAACAATAAAATTATGTAATGTGATAGACAAAAACTTGAGAAAAAAATACTTATAATAATGTGACAAATTGTTTGAAGCATGATAATAGAATGTTCAGTATTCAAAGTTGTTTATTGTCTTGATAGATTGAGACATAAAGTTTTTATACCTCAAATATCGATACATGAGGGCAGAATCGAAAAGAGAATAAAGTATGAAAATAATTGTGATCATAAAGGGCTAGAAAGGAGTTGTTAAAATAATTTTGAATAAGGAAATTGAAGAAATAAGCAAAATATTATTTGATATTCGCAAAAATATATTTGATATATGCAAAAATACTATATTCTTAGAGTACTGAGAGAAAATTGCTGCAGAGTAATTATCTTCATTACAGTTGCAGTCATTTTTTTTTTATTTGATCTTGGTTTTTTTACATTCTGATGCTAACTTTATTAAAATTTTACAACAATATTAAGTTTGTGATTTCATTTCATTGCATTTTGATTTTTTTTTTAGAAGAAACGTAATATTTTAAATTATAAATATGGTTATAATAGATAAAAGATGGTAATATTTATAAATCGAAGAAATCCAATTTATATCTTTATTTAACTTAAGTTAAAGAAAATTAAAGTAACTAGATTATTAAACACACTTCAGCATTAAATATTAATATTTTTTTGTCAAAATAACTTTAAATATTGTTTGATGTTTTAAATAGTTGCACCATGTTTGGTAGCTATTTTTATGACTCCTCAAAATTATTATTTTATGAATATTTCAATAATGTGTTAATAATCTTTCTATGAATATGTTTGATATTAGACATCATCTAATTATTTTATGTCCAATCAAGTGGACAAATATTTTGGACAATGATAATAATGAAATTACAAATTTAATAATGCATTTAAAATATTTCTATATTTTAATATAAAAGTAATAGGTGGAAGATGTAAGATACATTTTTTAATAATGTAGACTTGGCTTTTTTTTATTAATTTTGTAAATGACAAAATTGAGTGTGCAAAGTTACAAATTGTTATATATTTCATTTGTGATAGTTTATTTTTGAGTTTTGATAGTCTCTTCAAAAACTTTATATATTCTGTTTCGACAATATTAACTTGTTTTGTGACTAAAATGAAGTTTTGCTTTGATGTAATTTTTAGTGTTGAGAAACTCTTATTTCTGCAACTGAATGTGTATCTTAATAAGTGATAATTATATCAGTATTGTAATATTTCTGTATACTTCCAAGTTTATCTGCTTTTTGAGTTGATAATTTTAAAATATGATTACTAGTTACTGTAGAATTTACCAATCAACTTGGATTAATTATCTTATAGTGCAGTAAACGGAGAGGAAAAAAGGGTATAACCTCTGAATTTTTTTACTGTGCTCCGAATTGAATGAAATTTTGGAATTAGGTTCATCTTACCCTCAAGTTCAAAAGTGAAAACAATTCGGGTTGCGCCATCACCCCCCGGGGGGATGACACCCCCTTCTCAATTGTATAATTACATTTTTTCAAAATAACGTCGGAAATCGATAGAAGAACTAATTATAAGAAAAAAATGTCTTTTATAGTTTTTCAAAAAAACTAATACTTTTCAAGTTGCTGGCCACTAAAGATTCATATATTTTTGGCGTTTTTCTTCGTTTATTTGCAATTATCTCCTAAAATATACATTTTAACGAAAATCATGTAATGAACAAAATAATGTCAATAAAAATCTTAATAAGTCGGTATTACATAAAGTGTTCTAGGAAAAATATTAAGCAAGGTTTGAAAGAGCAAAGTCGTTTTTTCTTTCGTTCAAGATTTATTTGTTGTATTTAAAGCCATCTAGTGTCGAGGTTTTGCATTTTATGCATTTTAGTGAAATTGGGTTTTATAGTGCTCAACATAAGCTTTAAAATGAGTGCTGTTACAATTTTTTTGCGTGTAAAATGAGTGAGCTATCATGCAAATAAGAAGCGTATACGAAGTTTTTTTTTGTTAAATCATATGGTTTAATGAGCGCCATTTCCACCAGAATTAAAGTAATTCACATTCCATCTAGAATTCACTTCATTATAGATATCTTGATGGATTCAAGCAGATTCACTACTTTAGTACAAATTATTTTCAGAAAACTCACGATTTTATAAAAACTTTTTTTTCCAATTTGCGCGGCCGCGCACTCTTTGAACCATCATAACTCTGTCAATTTTTGTGTGAAAGAAAAATAATAAAAAGCAATAATAAGCCAGAAACATCCCTTTGATTTTTATCTATATGCTTTTATACGTATCTTTTATTCTTTTTGAGATATAATGAAAATAATTTCCATTTTTAAAAAAAATCAGAAAGAAAAAATTTTATAAAATCGTTTATATATTTATAACCAATCAAGTTGAAGATATTATTTTGCATTATAATTATCAATAAAACGATCTGATAATTTATTATTATTTAGGTATTGAAATGACTCCAATCCTGCGCCGTTCAAAAGAGGCTTCAAAACGACTGCACTCTAGGAGCTACAGCACATACCGTCAACCATTAGGAGCCCGATCTAAATTTCGAGGCCGTGGACCCCCTCACTATGCCAGAGGCCGAAAGTTGTATCTAACGACACGACATAACCGCGCAAGGGCTCGCAGCATCAGCCCCTACCGCAGGGATTCCTCTAGCAGGTTAGTAATATTTTAGTTATTTCAGGTATTGTATATAAAGGCAATTTGATAGTAGCTCATTTGGTGCAAAAAAATGCTGTTGCCTTAAAAGTTTTCCGGATAGTAGCTCATTTAGATCTTGATTTTTACATAGTGTATTTATATATTTTATTTTACCTTGATTAAAAATTGCTGAAGTTGTATCGCATCCACTGAAGACGTGCAAAAACAATATATGATCTGCGGCTGTTTTATCTATTAGGCTACTTGTAGAATATAATTGTTGCAAAATTTTTTCTCTTCCCGGTTTTAGTAAATATATAGTAAAAATCAAGATCTAAATGAAGTTATTTATATATTTAAAAATCCAAAACCTGATCCAGAGATCATTGCCACAGCTGGAGAACGCTTCCTTCTTAAATTGTACGGTTTTAGTGATGAGAATACCATAACAAATAAATCTTTAAACGTCTTTAGATATGCGTGCTTTACAAAATTGGCATACAAAATTAAATTTAATATTGCATCACTACCATGAATTTTTGAACACAGTTTGTGTAATGAGACATTCAAAGATATTTAACTTTTCTGTTTCACAAAAAACAAAAACTGTGTTTCAAAAATAAATATAGTTCAAAATTATTAGGATAAATTTTGAAGCTATAGTAATGTAATCTTTGATAACATTAAGGTTTAAATTCAATATTGGCAGTTGATATATATTGATAATAAAATTACAACAACTAATAAAGTATATGAATATGATATATACAATAGGTATGCTTATATGAAACAATATGTAATGAATGAGAATATTGTTGAACATTAATAATTTCGAACTTTCATTTTCGATTTCACGAAAATTAACAAAAATTATAAAAACGGACTTTATGATTGTCTGACACAGATTCTTATTAACTTTCCGTAGGGTAGTAATAGCAAAAAATCAAAAATGGAATTTTTTACATAACTACATTTCAAGACTTCCTGTTTCATCTTAGCATACCTTTGAAAAAAATGATGAAAATGTATGTACTATTAACCGATTTCCATTATTCGAAAAGCATTTGATATCTATTGATGTGGGAACACGTGCTGATTAGTTTTTGGCAGGTTCAGCCGTTTCGAAGATACGGGGCAAAAAGCTCAAAAAATGGTTTTTGAGAGAACGGAGCGCCCAATTTGAACGATTCGAAAAGCATTTTTTCGACATTTTTTCGACGATTTTTATTATTATTTTTTTGACGGTAGATACCATAGTCTTCTGATCATACTAAAATATTACGGTCCTACGACAATTCGTTTAGCTTTAAAAATTCGTTAAAGTTTGCAAAAATTAGTATCGTTTTTTTGGCATTTGTCAAAATTAGACTTTTCACCGACGATTGCTCAAAAACGCCTGAACCGATTTCAGAAATTTAAAAACCATTTGATGTGTCTCAATGATGACTATCGTTTGTCAGTTTTATGCGACGATCTGCCAAGCCGTTTCTTTTTAATTTGAAAAAAAGTATTAAACTTTTCGTCCGCATTTAAGTTCAAACTACCGATTCGATTTTAAAAAATCAAAAACAGTTCGAAAGATTATAGTTGGGAATGATACTGATTAGTTTTAGATAAAAATCTACCGAGCCGTTTTCTTGTAATTAACTGTTGAAAGAAAAAATTAAGCCGATTTTCATGGAACTTTTTTTGGCGACATATATCATGGTCTTATAGACTTTACTGAAATATTACGGCCTTACGACAAGTAGTTCAATTTTAAAAATTCATCAAAATTTGAGAAAATGAGTTGTTTTTTTGACGTTTGTTAAAATTAAAATTGGACTATTTACTTGGTATAACAATAGAGTACTTAGTCTTAATAAACATACTAAACAATTAAAGTTTTACAAAAAACTGGCTCAATTATAAAAATTCTTGATTTTTGAAAATTTGCTCTTAGAAAATACTCCGAGTCAAAGTGTTCGTTCGTTTTCAATTATGTGTAATAAATCCACTCGGAATACTTTTCATCGCACATAAGTTAATTTATTTTTTATTGATTAAGTCGATTATTTAAACATATCGGGAAGTTCATGTAACTTGCCTCAAGGCTAAATACCAAACCAACTAGTTTTCTTAATGTTTCAAGTCACTTTGAATAGTTCAAAAGGGTTCAAATGGGTTATATACACTTAATCGACTGAAAAAAATCCGACTTACTAATTTTATATTTTCTTAATGTTTCACAAGTCACTTTGAATCGTCCAAAATTGGAATAAGTAAGTGCGTGTGTGTATGCTCGTATATGTGAGCCATTTTTTTAATTTTTTATCAACCTTTTCCAAAACAAGGCTACACCGATTTAAGATATTAAAAATCATTCATTTTTGCAAAACGGTAGGCTGAGCCGTTTGTTTATAATTAGCAGAAAAGTGCAACAATTTTCGTCCACGTTTTCGTAAAAAAGATCTGAATTGTTCGAAAGATATAAATTCAGGATCAACCAACGCACTGTTTCTTCGTAATTAAAAGCTAAACAAATTTTTTAGTGTGATTAAAGAAACTTAACATGATGATACGTTCATGATTCACACAAACGTCCTTAAATATTATAGGTCTTCGAAATAACGATTTAAAAAGATTTATTAATACATTTATAGATATTTGAAGCCCGATACTAAAATTAATTGGAAAACTCATTGATTAATTTTTAATACAATCAAAAACTTTATTGTTAAACTAAACAAATAAAAATTTTATCTGATATCTGAATTCTCAATTGTTATTGATTAAGAAGATAATTTACAAGTAGTAAATAACTTTCCTTGAAATGCCACAAATACCAATTTTAATGATATTTTTCATTGTAATTTTTTTTTCAAACCAACTTGTAGGATCAAAATCCCTATGAAATTAAATAGAAAATATTAGGTGATGATTAAGATGCTGAGGATATGTTGCGTTTAAATTGGAAACTACAATCTATACCGAATTTAGCATGTGATAAAACAAGATAAGCTCGATTTAAGCAGTAATAAATAAGAGATAAAAACGACCATAAAAAACTTACTTTTTATAATTAAAATTATTATTATATATTTGCTTTTCAGATTCCACAAGATTACTATTCGCTACTTGGTGGATATTCATAACGATATTAACATCATTCTACACGGCTAATCTGACTGCATTTTTGACCCTCAGTAAATTTACTTTGCCCATCAATGAGCCTAAAGATTTATTAGTGAAGAATTACAAATGGACTGCGAGACAGGGTAGCGCGGTGGAATATGTCGTTAAAAACGTAAGTTGAATGTAATAAATATAGATCTCATATTATTAAATAAGGCAAACCTCATGTCATTGATGTGTTTATCGATATAATCCAATATAAAAATGCTATATATTGATGAACAAAATAAGTAAGATGGTATTCGGCAAAGACGAATACGGTATTCGGACTGATGAGTCTTACTTTAGATATACTCTTCCTAGAAAAACATTCTATAACTACAACAACTATCTATAATGATTTCAAACTTCAACATGTTATTGTAAAACTTCCTAACTTAACTGCATCCGCTCTCATCTTATTTGTGATCCTTCACATTTTTTTCAGGGGAACATTTTATATTTGTCGCAAAAAGCAACACCATAAACAATCATATTTTCCACAATTTAATTATATTTTAATCCAATATTTTTTCCTTCAGCCTGACGAAGAACTGAACTACCTTGCTCCTATGATCGGAAAGCGGGCACAACTCAATGATCCCTCCAACGATACAGCATTTCTAAATATGATAGAAAGTGAAAATTACGTACTGGTACGAGATCGTCCAGCTGTGGATTTACTGATGTACAATGACTACCGAGCCAGAAGTGACGTGGATGAATCCAGGAGATGCACATTCGTGGTGACGCCGACTAAGTTCATGACCAAGGGAAGAGCTTTTGCGTATCCTATGAATAGTCGGCTAAGGGAACTGTTCGACCCTTTGTAAGTAGAACAGATGTTTGTTCTTGCAGTTAGGACCTAATAAATATAAATTTTTATTTTATGCCCAAAATTCGTCCAGTTTACTATCTAAATAAGTGTAACCCTTTCCAAAAAAAGTTCGAATAATCCTCAGATAATGATTTTAATTTACAGATTATTAGCTCTGGTGGAATCTGGAATAGTTAAACATCAAACACAAGCAGATCTGCCAAATACTGCAATATGCCCACTGGATTTAGGAAGCACGGAAAGACAACTACGAAATGGAGATCTGATGATGACGTACATGGTGGTTGTTGTTGGTTTTGCCACTGCTCTGATCTTCTTCATTGGAGAGGTAACTAAACCATTTGAAAAATAATAACATTCTTCTTTAACCCCAATCCTTTCATTAATTATGTTTTTTCAATAGTAGTTTTCTCTTTTTTATTTCTGTCCTGATCTAACAAATTTCATCATTCTCTAAATCGTTTTATAGGTATATAAAGTAAATAAATTATTCATTGCCTTCATAAGTTCATCAGTTTAGTTATTGATAGGATTTTATTCTATAAATATTGTTTCAGTACTAGCAATTCCAATCGTGGACACTTATACACTTATAAAATTGTTTGATATCTCCTTATTTTTACTGATACTAAAAATCTCATCTCTGCCATAATTTCTAATGTAAAGATGTTAGATCAGATTTCCATAATAATTCATTATTAACTTTCCTTAGGGTAGTTACAGTAATGGGCCAAAAATCGAAAATAATTTTTTTTGTATTTTTCGACGTTTTGAAGATTTCTGAACATTTTGGCATACCTCAGAAAAAATGAATGTGTGTGTGTGTGTTTTGTATGTCAGCATTTTTTCGTCCACGTTTTCGGGCGCACGGCCCAACCGATTTAAATGATTCAAAAAACATTCGATTCCTATTGATAGAGTGATGTGCTGATTAGCGTTTGGCAAAGGCAGGTCTATCTATTACGGAGATACGGAGCAAAGAGTGCAGAAAATTCCAATCAAGTTTTTGAGAGAACGGAGTATCCGATTTGAATAATCTAAAAAATATTCAATTTTTAATGATTGGGAGGTGATTAGTTTTTGGCAAAGGCAAGTCCAGCCATTTCAACGACACAGAGCTAAATGTGCAAAATTTTTGAGAGAACTAAACGTCCGATTTGAATGATTCAAAAAACTTTCTGCTTGTTTCAACAGAATAATTGCTTTCGGGAAAAAAAATTAGTTTCAATTTTTTTTGTATATCGAAAATCATAGATAAGGAAATAATTCAGATTTTAATTTTAATTCTGACTAAAGTTCTAATACACTTTAAACAAATAATTTCAACTTTGCCATTCAGTTTATATAATTCTTATAAATATTAGACAACGTTGCAGTATTTATTTATAATAATCTATTTGAAAACATTTAATATTTTCCTCGAACATTTCGTTACGGTACGGGAAGTTGCAGCAATTTGCCTTAAGGCACGATGCCATACACCACTAGTTTTATTTAATATACTCAGAAGGATAATAAATTTGTTATATATTAATATATAAAAAAAATTTACTTTTCTTGTTAAGTAAACAATTGTCACTAATATATTTCAAATTTTAAATAAAATGGCAGCTATTTATTTAAAACAATGTAACTTACTATTATTAACTTTTCAGATTACGTATAGATATTTCAAATTCGGCAGTAAAATGAGGCGTGGTCACACACCAGGCGACAGAATGCGCCACAAGAACCAACACCAGTCGCAAAAGATTCAAAATGTATTGCATCATCACCAAAATTTACTTAACAATAATACTCATGGAGCCCAATTTGAATACAACAACGTCTATGCTAATGTGAACGATTATGCTCCAAATTCAGTCAACATACCCAGCAAGAAAAGACCTTGGGGAGGTAAGACCTATTTAGCAAACTGAATTTATTTATGACCAATGACTAGTCAAGAGCTAGAAACATACCAAATTCTCTCCACAAGAAATAAAAAAAAATTTAGTTTCTCCTTTGTCTTTATCATTAAATTTTATCATGAGGCAAAAATCTTTTAGTTATTCAGTACTATTTTTTATTCTAGGACGCTCAGACTCCGATCATTACATAACACCGCCACCAGCCTACGGATCGCTATTCAAACAATCATTAGCAGGATCTAACAACTTAGGCAACATAGCACCTAAACATCAACATCAACATCATCAGCAGAACATCAATGGAAGAGATTATTACGTAGTGAAAACAGTTCAAGGAGATACAAGGTTGATACCAGTTAGGCAACCATCTGCACTCTTATTTCAGTATACCAATTAGATTTCCAAAATTGCCAAAAGCATCGTTTTGAAAGTTGAGATTATAATATATTTTTTTGACAATCAGGAATGAGTACGGATGTATATCTAAATGTAGAATCTAGATTGATATAATGATGTATAGCTTTGAAAGTAAATAAATTATAGACATCATGAATAAATCTATGAAGAAAGGATTGTTGATATCGTGAAGTCTAATAGAAGCAATGGAGGTAAAAGGGCAAACGCTTTTGCAAGGCCAATCATGTGCAAACAATGCTCAAGAAAGAAATAAGTAGGTATGCCAGTATAAAAGTCCAAAAATGATAGGTGCCAAGGATCTCAGTTGCTAAGTATTGAAATTGCCATCAATCAGTTGATAAGTTGAAATAATTGTTTCTAAAATAATCGAGACTTCTTTTGATCGTACCAATTATCTTGAAAACGATATCTTATTCTTCCTTAACAGGCGACAAATAAAAGTGTTAAAATATTGACAAAACAACAATCTTGGCGAAGACTTCCTGATATCAAATCTTTTAAATAGAGCAAACTTCACCAAATTTTACATTCTGAACTGCAAAATTAGAGGAGTTAGTAGTAGAGAAACCTAGCCTGAACCAATAGGTTTTTATTTTTTTTTTAAATATATATATTAGAAATGAAAGACAAAAATACGAAATAATTTGATATAAAAATACAACCTGCAACATTAAATCCAAATAGATGAAATTGAAGTTGAAATGATTACGAACCAATTTAATATTGAACAGAATATATTTTAAATAAACAATTAAAATGATTTTGATATTCGAAGTATAGAAGGTTTTTCGATTATTGTCATCAATAATCAACAAACCCAGAGATTTTGAGACCATTGATTTACGCAAGTGGATCCTAAAACTGAAGATAAAATATCGAAAAAATGTCTTAGATTAAAATCTGGACTTGATATCTAATTTTCCACATGTTCTAGATGTCGAAAAGATCGATTTCCTTGTAGACAGCATTTTGAGCCTTGTTTTATGATTAAGGACAATTCTATGAACTACTATAATTTCACTATTGAAGAAGCAATAGCTAATTCAGAATTTAATATTGCTCTTTTCCCTCCTATCTAGAACACATGTAGATATCTTGGTCATATAAAACCAGGAATAAATAGAAAAAATCCTCCAAGATTTACCCATGTCAATTCCCATTTTTAAAGCCGAATATATGTTTCATAAGCATAAATGACGCTGAATAAATGTTCAATTATTTAGAAGTGCAGAAATGTAACACTGTAAATATTTATATATTTGTACACAGAAATTTAATTATTATAAATATAAATAAATATAATAATTTTGAAACAATATTTGTTAAATTCATATTCAGATCGTGTTATATAATATGTTATTTATAAATGTAAATACTATTTATAATATTTGTTGTATTGTATGAATTTATTAATAAAACAAAAATAAAACAGTATGTTTTTATTTGAATTCGTTTTATTTAATGGTTTCAGATTCTCAATCATTGTAATTAGGTACTCTATAAAAATAGTAACGTTGATATTATATAGACCAGACGCTGTGTCTTAATCTCTAAAAAAAAAATGCGCAAATCTAAGTTAAGAATGATTATTCAATGGCCCAAGGTTAATTTCAAAGAAAGTTTAATAAAATTGGTTACGAAAAAATATTTTGCATTTATTCTGCATAAAATCATGCAAGTGAATTTAAAAAAAAAATAAAACCGATCAAAATTTTGAATTTTATTGTTTCGGCACAATCTTTCATAATAGGAAAAACTTTTGTAAAGCAAATCATAAGTATAAAAATCACACAAGTTTCAATTTCTAATAGTAAACGATCTCTATGTCAACAAGTTAATGTGTTTGTTGAGGTTGTGAACATTCTCATTTTTAGTAAAGTCACAAAAACTCATTTTTTAATAAATCATAGTAGTGAGTTCTTCAAACAAAGAGTCAAAATTTACACAATAAAAGTGAAAAATCACATTCACAATATTGCATTTTGTATACAAAGTTTTCACAGTGAATATTGTAAAAAATCATTTTTACTATTTAAAAATCTATCAATCAATTTATGATTCTTCATCAATTTCACCAATTTTATGTCTCATTTCCAGCAAAGGCTTCGATCTAAACACCTCCCTTTTCCTTTCAGCCAATTTCAAACTATCTGGAATGTTAAACTCGATCATATCATTCTCGGTCTCTTCAGCAACTTCTGCCAAACCAACATCTACCAGATTTTCTGATTCAAAATCATCCTTCTCATTTGTGATTATTTTGCCATCTGTATTATTTGCAGCAAATTCTTCTTGGATGCATTTATCTAATAGTATAGCTAATAATTTCTTAAACTTTTCACAGTCCGTAAGTTTGGTAACGTTTTGTTCATGGGCTAGAGTAGTTTTTAATTCTTCAGATTTTTCGTTAAGTAAAGTTCTAAGTAGATGTACGGTGGATACGTATGTTACATCTTCCCATCCCTAAAATAAAATTGTGATCGAAATATATATGGAAAACTAGCATATTAAGCATTTTCTCAAATTACTTGATATATCAAAAGTCTTTTATATTCATGAGTCCAATTATTTCTAGATAGCCGTAGTTGTTCCTTCAAATGGTAATGAACAACTTGATTTTAATAATTTTTATTATACAAAAGATAAGTTAATGGTATGTTATATATGGAGCATATCTCTGTGCAGATCAGAGACCTGGAAAGTTTGAAATGCGGTACTGGAATGAGAAGATAAAGTGGACAGATAGGATAACAAATAAAGAACTGCTAAAAAGAGTAAGCAAAAAAAACTGTATTGAGTACGATCATGAAAAGGAAAAGGAACTGGATCGCAAAAAGATCCAGATGCATGCTGCTAATAAATTAGCTACAAATAAATTGGCCAATGTGTAAGCAGAAATTTTATTGATAGTATCCATATAGGTACCAAATCCGGTTTGGAAAATTAAGATGCTACAATTTTCACAGCAAATGTGTATTTAAAACTGGTAAATATGTATTAGTTTATGAAAACTAGTAATGTTTACTTGGTGAAAAACTATCAAAATTCATCACCATTTGTATCATTGAATAACCATTGGATAAACAAAAGCTAAATTACTACCTAAATTAACCAACCATTTTCCTCATCTATGTCAATTATATTTGAATTCTGTAATATAATTTGGCACATATGTAATATTTTTGAACTCACTTCAACGTGTTCTAAATTCGAAAAATTAAAATAACAAATAATTCGAGAATGTGCTTGTAAAAAATACTTCCATATAATAATTCAAATATATCCATCTACTTACATTAATATACACAGTGCACAAAACACACCAAAAGCACAAATTTCATTCTTGTTAATACACAGCACATAAAGCAAAACTACGATATTAATCAAACTCTGCTGAGAAACAGATCTACGATAATAATCCAGGTGTCCAAAAACATGAAAAAATACCAGTACCATGTTAATATTGCACCAAATTTAATCTTGTTAACACAAAGCAAAAATACAATAATATTCAGATCTGCTAAAAAGTAGATCTCCAATAATCCGGATTACATATTAAAATCTATGTGGATGATGAAGTTATATTGAAATGTGCAATCTTTTATAAATAATAAAGTCGCAAAAAGCAAAACCCAAGTGTGCTCATCGTCAGTATCACTCTGTTCGAATAGATAATAGTTAGGACATATTTTATATCACGATTAATCATCTTAGTCCATTTATTTGAGATAATAATGGTTGAACTTGATTGATCAAGTTCTGTGTTCTGTGTTCGACATGCTAAAATTTTCATACCATTTCTTGGTTTCTTCTGATCAAATCAAAATAACTGTGACTAAATATGATCCTATTTCTCAAAATACTTAATACCGGCTATGATTTATAATTTAAAAATATCAATGCATTGTGCAAAGATGAACCAATACCACTATAAAATCCACATCTCCAAAGCAGGTGATTGTAGCAAAAAATACATATTGTTAATTCAAAGTTATGAAGTAGAATTAAACACTAACCTGATCTTCCAAATCTTGGACTGGAGTACGTAACAGAGCGCAGATGTTATTTGCAATATTTTTCTGCAAATTCATATGCCTCAACATTACAGAAATCAATTCCAATAAAGCATTCAGATCAGACTGACAACTGAAAATAAAATATATATATATATATATATATATATATATATATATAATTAAGATATATATATAATAATTTGTATTTTTAGATCGTACATACATAAACAAGCTGTGTTTCTTTTTATTAAAATCTTCGACACCGTTTTTAATTTGAATTAAACTTTCTTTTAACAAATTTTCTAATCCAGACATTGATGTTGGAATTATATCTTTGAGTTTTGCTAATAGTCTTCTTTGTATTAATCGATATTGGGCAGATAATCTTGCTAATTTATCCTAAAAGAAATGGTTCATAGTGAATAAATATTGTATAAATCTTGGAATACCACCATTTGCAATATGAAAATTTGTAGATTTGTAAATAAGTTAGTAAATTTAGCCCACAACAAAAAATTTCACACAATATACCGTATCATTAAACATAAAAATTGTTTTACTGAATAAAATAGACTTGTAGAGAAAATATGTGCTTATTTATCTATTTTAAACGTTTTAAATACGATTGAATTGTGTACTATCCGCGCCTATATAAGTTCTAGATAAAATACATAAATGACCGGAAAATCGGCAGATATGATATTGGATCAGACTGATGACGATATCATAGCTTTGCTATTTTATATTTAGTTTATAATGTTAGTAAAATTAGTACAAATACTAAAAATATTAAATTCAGATCAAACACTATTTACTTCTGGGCTCCCAATATTTTGATATCGCGCAACATGAAGCAGAATATACAACATACTTTTTGTTCAAACATCAAGATCTTGCTCTGGAAATGGTGATCTACAGCTGTTAATAATTCTTGAACAGGAATAGCAGATGTACATACTATACGGAAATCTTGTTCATTCTCAAAATGCTTTTTAAGTCGTTTACATAAGACTTGGCAGGCAACCGCTAGATCATGCACATAATCTGATTGCAGACGATACCTGCAACAATATATAATAAAATCAATAACTATGAAAATGTAAATATGTATAACATTGATTACACAAATTCACACACATTGATTCACAAATTGGATTGAGAATACAATTTGAGTTGATTTTAAAAACTTTTTTCTTATTAATTTACAATTTATATATGATTGCATTTACTGCATTATTGCCTTGGGCATTAAATTTTATGGACATTAAATTATTAATTTTATTAATAAATAAACTAATATAATACAAAAATTAAAGAATTGTTAAAATTAATTAACTATGTCGGTGTTTTATTCTAAAACTGGTGCATGATATAAACTATAGCAAGAGATTTTGTAATTTTTAAATTTTGAAAATGAAAAAATCGGCACTTAATTAAATTTCTTTCTTAAACGGTAATTGTATGCATTTCATAGTCATACTTATTCCATTCATACCTTTGAGAGTTCTTTCCAATAATTATGGATACTACATGATTAGGTTTATTTATCAAACTCAATCCTACAGCAGTCGGAATACCAATGGATGAAGAAAATTCTGAAACAAAAGAGACAGATGAAATGCTTACTTAACAACAGCGTTTTCCTTAATACTTAAATACTTGAAACTTAAATACTTAAATATTCGGATTTAATTAATTATTATAAAATTTTGAACTGTTTATTTCACAAATATAGATTTCATTTTCTCTAAAATCATATTAATGCAACTTCAAATTGATATTTTTGCTAAAACAACCTTGTAATATCAGCCATAGTATTAATTATAGTAAATAAATTCAAGATTGTAAGCCCTAGAAATACCGCCTATTATTACAAACTTTAACAAAATTTCATAATTCAACCACTTTTCGTAGGACTGCAATATTTTAGAATGTAATTTTTTTACTTAAATTAATATTAAATGTCATAAAACATAATGCCATATACTCTTCTTTTATCTATGCATAAAACATATTTTTTTAAATCAGTAATTCAATTACAAAGGAGTGCCCCATTCAATATGTGCCAAAAAGACAGAAACTAGTAATTGCGATTGCCAACTTTTCGAATTTTTAAAATTGAGTCAGAATTATTAGCTAAAATGTGAATGAAAAAATCAGAAAGAACAAAACACATTTGATTTCACAACTACCATGTACAAGTATATGTAGAAAAAAATCCTAGCTAAATTTATACCAGACTGTAATTAATAATACTTCTAGACAAGTCCATCCAAAATTATGTGTTAAATTTAGAAATTTTCTAAAGAGAACCAGAGAAGATTATTGTCATTATTGTTAAAAAGAAAGAAACTACAAACAGCATAAAAAATGGTATATATAGACAAAATGACTTAGTAGCCTTATTTCAAAATTGGCTAGTTCTAGTAGCATCATCCTGTCAGATGTTGAGCATGATTGTCACAGTCTTGTCGCAGTGATCAGTTCAGTTTTGCATCTTGAAAAGTTTATTTGAGAGTGTTTTATTATGCTTTTTCGAGGGCCTATATTTTGATATTCGTAATTATTTCAATTAAAATCAATTAACTTTTGTCAGTACTAAAGATTTTGATAAAATTTATGATGTATTTCTAGGTTCTTGTTTCATGTGTCAATGCCCCAAAAAAGAGCAAAATGATTTATTTGTGAACTGTTTTTATTAAAAATTAGCATCTCAGTTTGTCTTCAGTATGTATTTGTCATTTTGATCATACTATATGGACAAAATGGTTTATGTCATAGGTTGCATTTTTTTCTCAATAAATGTTATTATAATTCCTGCTTAATTAAAATACTATCTTACTGGTAGTCAATGAACCAATAATTAGCACAAACGATTTTGCATTTTTTTCTCAATAAATGTTATTATAATTCCTGCTTAATTAAAATACTATCTTACTGGTAGTCAATGAACCAATAATTAGCACAAACGATTGAGATTGATTACCATTGATTACAATATCAAATAACAAAACACCATCTCATTTTCCCCTATAAGATAATGAGAGAAAAAAAGAAATAATATTCATCTGAAGAGAATTAAAAAAATACTAGAAAATCTTATGCACTGCTAAGTGCATAAAACATTAGCAAAAAACTAAATAAATACAAAAGTATGGTGATTAAAAATAAATCAGTTGCCTAGCTCGTAAATAAGGGTAATTCTTATTCTATTACCTGGAAAAAGTTGATTTAATGGTGTAGCTGGATGACTGATATTCAACGTAACTTTAAATTTGGCTTCCTTCACTGGCTCTGTTAAGTTGTACACTAAATTCAAAGGTATACTAAGAGTTTTTTGTAATATCCTTGGCAGCCCTTGAGTATTCACATAGGATACTAAAATTTTCAGTTCAACACTGTATATATTAAAGCCTCCAAATTTATCTTCATCAATGTAACAATAAGTTTCAAACATTTTTTCTTCTAAAACATTCCTAAATAGAATGCTATTAATTGAAAGCGATAAAGGAGAAGGGACCATTGCAGAAACTTGTATTTGTTCAAAAGAATTTGTGCTAGGTTTTATTTTAGCTACAATTCTCATAGAATTGACCGAGCGTGGTTTGTCATCAAGTTTAAATGTTTCTTGTGCATTATGTGGTAGTGGTCTCAAAGTTGAATCAATATTTATATTGATCTGTATCTCCTTTTCTGCTGTAGTATTTATCAATATCAAATCTAAAAGATATTAAAATTATGAATTACATTTGATATCCATAAATTTGAATTCTACATATAATATGCAGTTTATTTAACATACCTGCTGAATCTGTATTTGACTTAATGATAGCATGTAAATTTTCTAATTCTAATTTGGCTTCTTCATAATCAATAGGTTTCAGACTCATAGGTGGAGCAGAAAACAATTCAGGTTCCGTTCCAAGGTAGCTGCATTGCAAATGACCATCTTCTGATAATGTTACCAGAGCACCTAGAAATTTAAACAAATTTATTTTTAAATAAGTAAATAAGTGAATAAATAAATAAATATTAAATAATAATCTAGTATCAAGTTGAATATTTTTTGCATTTTAAATCCATGATGTATATTGATTAATATAACTAATTCATTAATTCATCATTCATTATAATGTTAATTCAATTTAATGATTAAAATAGTATAATTCTACAAGAACAACAATTTTGTATTCTAATTGTTGAAATTGTTATTCTACCAAATTTTAATTGTTTCTATAATGAAACAAGTTGACACTAGGGCTAAATTGAGCATATTGCAAACTAAAAAGTTGTTAAAGTATAATATAATGTATCATGATTAAACAATTAACAACACATGAGATCAGTGAAGAATTTTCAAACAAATCATATCCAATTCATTTTTATTATAAGAAAAAATAGTTTACTAATTAAATTTCCTTTATCTAGTAAGTCAAATGTGAATGTGTTGAGTTTATATGCTAAAATAAGGACAGAAATTCATTTACTTGGAAGTTCAGCAACTGAAGCTTTAGACATAGCAACCGGTATGCATGGCAGCTGCGCAGACCATCTTAAACTGGTTCCTTCATACAATAGTAACGTTCCTAAGTTTGAAGCAACTGCCACCATTAACCTTGCATCGGGTTCTGATAAAAAATAGATAGTTAGAAATTAGTAAAAAAAAATTGTAACAAAACTTATATATATTCTTGTTCTAACTGTTACAATATTCCTAATAAACAAAATTTATTTAAAGATAGGCTTTAATATGAAGGGAGCTCACAGATGCATTACGATTAACTAAGTTATGATTAAAATTTAGGCTAAATAAAAGTTATACAAAAAACATAATTTAAGATGAAGACAAAATGAAAATTTTATTTAATGAAAAGTTTCATTTAATTGTAACATTGATTTCAATAATTTTCAAATTCAAACTATATGTATGTTGCTGATTTTTACCCCAATACCATCCAATGACATATGCATGAAGACATATTGGCACAAAATCCAACTTCTTCATAAATTTCAATTTTCCCAAATCAGTCAAACAATATAAATTTTTCTCGCCAAGAATCACAATAACAGTCTCAGTGCTAGTCAATGGTAATGCCATAATATTTAAGATGCCTTCTCCTAAATTGTAATACCATGTTGGCGTCAAGTTGCCAGAACTTTCAGATTGTGACATATTTTGGTATCTAAAAAATGAAAAATAAATTATCAAAATATATAAGAGACCCTACATATTGCCATAATGTAACAAAATGTTACTTTTATACTTTTTCTGCTACAAAGTTATATAACAAATGTTAACTAAATGTAATATACGTGCAATGTATATTGGGAGTTGTGACCTAATGTAATAAATGTGCAATGTTTTGTTAGAAAATATTTTTCACAATTTTATATTTTAATGAAAATTCGACGGATCGATTTTTTAGCTTACCGAAGGAACAGTTTGTCTTTGCCAAAAAATCCGATTTGCTAATTTTATGTTTTCTCAATGTTTCAAGCAATTTTGAATCGAAAGAATCCAAATTTGAAAATTTGTAAATTAAAGTTGTACAATATTGTTAAGATAGAGATAACAATAAAAAAATTAAAAAATATTACAGCCCAAACTTAGTACATCTCTAATTTTTCAGTCCAAAGGAGTTACAAAGAAAAGTTATCCATTCAGCTTTAAAAATGAACTGCCTTAGCCTTAATTAGAAAATCAGTAACCGGAGTAATTCCTATACATTTTTTTTAATAATATTAGGTATATTTTAATCTCATCATAATAGCTTATAAAATTGTGCTAATTAAATTGCTATTTATAATTTCAATATAAAAAATAATCATAAGATCATTACAGAGTCGCAAAGAAAAAATCTATAAAAAATTAGAGCAGATGTTTGAAACTAGAAAGCAAATCTTTAAACTACTATGTAATAAATCTGAAATTAAGTTAAGCCTTATGAACAAAATTAAATAAAAAAGAGGAAAAATATTTGATGAATTAAAAAATAAATATAGAGTAATGAAATATCAGATAAAATCAGAAAATATAAAAATAAAAAATTCGATAACAGCTTGAAACTGTCTTCCTCTTCAGGCAATGCACTTGTTATTCAATTAATTAACAAATTCATTAATTGTAATTGGATAGTGATTAGATATGTAAATAAATAAAAATAAACTAATATAATGTGTTTCTGATTTTTACAGTAAGACTCTTATTAGCATCTTACTGGAAATATTTAAAAAAATGTATGAGTATGGTTTTACAATTTTCTCTGTAGCTGTTTCAAAAAAATTGACAGGTAAAAGTATGCGTTCATTTTTAGTAAATTTACCTGTAACATTCCACGAACCAATTTGAAGTAACAGTGATAAAAGAATCTGTGCGCATAACATAACAAATCGATGAGGGCAGTAAAAAATTTGGCAGAACACATTTAAATCCAATGGATTCCTGTTCAAAAACACTCAATATTCCATTTAGAGATTGAACACATATAAAATCACGACCTGATGCACCTCCAAAAGGGCCGATTACCATGGAATAAGCAGATTGCGGTAGAATGTGTTCGTAGCATACAGTGAGGAGGTTTTGATCACCTATAAATTATTATTAATATTATAAATGATTATAAATCTATTGAATCTGTCATATTATTTTTAAAATAAATTCTAATATATAATTTGTATGCAATCCGCATATAATCCATGAATACAGAAGAATTTTAGGATTTACCAAGGAAAAAATATATAATAAAATTGTAAGTAAAATATGAACTTTGTTAAAAAATTTACTTGTTTTAATAGATATAACTGAACATAATTATGTATATTAAAACTGAATGTACATTTGAATTCTTGAAAAGTAACAAAAAAATTCAAAGATGAATTTTAAAATCATTATTTTGTGAAATGTGATATCCAATAATTTTAATAGTATTAATGTAACAATTTGCTTACACTTAATAAAAACATATATATATATATATATATATATATATATATATATATATATACAAATAAAATTCAAGATTTCTACCAATATTAATCATTACACAAAAAGATTGAATGTCATTAATTAGTATTTAACAGCTTACAAATAATTTTAGAATAGTTAGTGATTTTTACCATGGTCTGTGATCCCGTCTAATGATTTTAAAGAGTATACAGTAACTCGTAGTGGATGCAGTACACATAAGAACCATTTTTGAGATCCCCTAAAACATAATTAATTAATTATAAAAATAATATCATAATTTAATTGAAAAAAATTTGAAAAGATGTTTTTTATAAATAGCAACCAAAGAAAATAATTTAATATATGGTTTAATTAAAAATTAAGAATAAAAATAAAATAAACATGGAATGAAAGCTTAACTATAATTAATGGAAACTAATAATTATTTTATTATTAAATAATTATTAACTAGTAATAATTTGCTTACATCGTTCACTTTCTTAAAATTTTGAAATATCTACAAAGTATTTTTTTTTTCAAAAACAATGAGATATTAAAATAAATAAAAGATGTTAACTGACTAAGAAAATTATGATTTAAACAACCATTCAAATTGATTCTGATAGTAAATTTTCTTTTAGCATTTATTAATAAATTAGTAACTGAAAGTAATTCATTTACTTATTTTAGTGCATGTTTAGGCATTATTTTAAGTTGGGCATGTGGTTTTCGACATAAAATTTGGAAATAATTTAGAAAATGTATATATCCGAACAACAATATTTCAAAGATGTAGAAATATATCCACATAAAGAATGTATCAATATAATGCAAATAACTTATATGTACAAATTTTAGATAATGTGACCCCGATGTTTGTATAAAATCCTAGTAAATATGAATATAGGTATATATGAATTATTACTTAAATGAATTATATTGAATGTACAAACTGCATAGTCTACAAATGACTAAAAATGAAAAACTATTAATATGTATAACTATAGTTATAAAGTAATAAAGGTTTATAGTAATAAAGGTATACCTTTAAAACCAAACAGTGCAAACTAAATAACAAGCTATTTAGTGCGAACAAAACAGATCTCAGGCTATCAACATACGAAACCAATTTTCCTAATCCTAAACCAAGAACGGGGTATGGTAATAATTTCTCCAGAACCAAGTCTGTAGGTTTGTATGCAGACAAACTTCCATCATCCAGTCTTTTTGTAGTCACCTTATATACTCTCAAAGCCCCTAAATGGGATCCTACAACTAAATTATCATGATCGCCTTCGGTTAGTCTGGCGATCAACAATGAATTTCGATCGAAAGATTCTGTTTCATCTTCAGAAACATTTGTGTTCCACCAACTTCTCGCTTTGAATAAGGACATGGTCGTCAAAGAAAATTGCACAATAAAATTCTAAGTTACAAATTAAAGGCTTCAGACTTGAAATTTAAAAAAAAAATCATTCATTATTTTATTGATACACACGTGTGCAATTTATGACAAATGACTTATTCAAACACATTTTTTAGAATGAATGTGTAAAATTTTTGTTGATACCTTTCTTGAACTGTCATTGAGACAGTTACCAAGAGTTACCAATATAGACAAAACAAAAATTTTAAGATTAGTTTTGTATTTTTGTTTATTTTGTTGTTTTGTTTTTTATGTTTATTTACGCAGTTTAATATTGATCTAAAACTACTAATTTTAATTAAATTATATTATTTATTAATTATAATTTTATAGTTTCATTGTTTAATATAATAGATTAAAAATATAATAAATAAGTTTTTCGATATTTATTTTCATCAAATATATAAAACATTTATTCAATTATTTATTTTTAATCGTTAAACTCCTATAAATTTGATGAATTTATTAATCTCATTCTTTATTTGAGGTTAGAAAAGTCTGGAATTAATGTTTTCAAAGAATCGGCAACATCGGCAACCATGTTGACATAGATAAATAAGAAAAAATGGATGTATGTGTGTGTGTGCGTGTGTGTGTGTATGTGTGTACGTGTGTGTATGTATGTACGTGTGTGTATGTATGTGCGGATACAAATTTTCGTCGACGATTTCGGGAACACGGATCAACCGATTTGAATAATTCATAAAACATTCGATTCGTATTGATAAGGAGACGTGCTGATTAGTTTTTGGCGAAGGCAGGTCTAGCCGTTCCGAAGATACGGGGCAAAAAGTGCCGAAAACGGTAACTCAGTTTTTAAGAGAACGGAGCGTCCGATTTAAATAATTCAAAAAACATTTCACTTGTATTGACAAGATGAAGAATCGATAAAATTTTCATAAAGGTAGGTGTAGCGGTTTCGGAGATATGGAGGAAAAAGTAAAAAAATTAGCCATTTGGCGGTCAAAAATGTTCATTAGACATATGCACATCAAATTATTAGATATTTTATAGAGATTTTAACAATAAGTATACATTTTGTTAACATTCCTATGGGTTCCGTACCAATGCTTATGCGTTAGACAGCGACGCGGCGCTTACGCGCTTTATATTTTGTCCCTATGCAGTTAAATCAGTACGATTGCTTTGAAAAAAAGTTCAGATCTTCCACAATATGTCAAAATAAAGAAAAAAATTTTTTTTCTCAAAAAAAAAAATTAAAAAATTTTTTTTTTTTCAAAAAAAAAAAATTAAAAAAAAATTTTTTTTTTAATTTTTTTTTTTCAAAAAAAAGTAATTTTTTGTCCATATATATAGTTTCTCAAAAATCTTATTTTTTCAAAGCACATTTTTTTCAAAAATGTTAATCGCTTTTAAAAAATTAATAATTTTTGGTACGGGAAGTTCCAGCAATTTGCCTTAAGGCACGATGCCTTGATTGCCTTAAGACAGAATTCCACTTACAGCTAGTTTAATAATAATTTCAACCTACTTTTTACAAATTTGGGACACTACCAAAATAAAGCCCAAAAGCAGACAATTGGTCCTAATATATAATTTTTTTTTTCATTTATATTTTATTTTAGTGACAATGTTCTGCGAATTCACAATTACAATATGTTTAATCGAGAATAAATTTATTTTATACTGCAACTTGGTATTTGGAATCTGTAAACTTTAAACCATATTTCTACTTTTTGTTTAATGAAGTTAAAAAGTCAATAAAATCAGTAAATTATATTTATTAAATATGAATTGCTTATAAATGTTGATTTTATTTCAAAATGATATACAGTCAAATAGTAATTAATGTTTTCAATTCGTTATAATAGTTAATATAGCATTTGAAGTTTATTATAATTTTAATAAAAAGTTGCAAAATATGTTTACATATTAAGAAAATTTTAATAATATAAGCAAATTTTCTTAAAGCAAAAATAACAGCAAATTGGTATTGTTATATTTAACATAAATTATAAGTGTTCTAAGTTTGAAATTTTTCATAAAAAATATATATAAAAAATATATAATACATGTGAAATTATTGTAAAAATTAGCACAATTTTATTTCATCTTAAAATGTTTGGTATACAACTGTTTATAATGTTAGTTATAATTTAATGAATTGTACTTTGAAAAAAAAATGTTATAAATTATACATTTGATGCTCTTATAAAAGACTGTCAATTAGTTACATCGTCTCAAATGATTTGGCAAATTATTCAATATCTCATAAGTCAATTGTTCTGCAATAACATCACTTGAATATTTGCAGTACACCTTAAACTTATATATCGAGAAAGATTTACCTGCAGCAAGGTATTGTTTATCATTTTACCAATATTACCTAATTTCACTTTCTTATCTTTAACATTCTTGGTAAAAACTAAATAGCAAAGTATCGAACAGTGCAGCTCAGATTCTATTAGAACATGTCCCCCTGCTTGCGCACTACAGTTTATTGTCTTAATAACATCGGTGACGTTAGCATTCAAATCAGATGCCATTTTACGAATATTATCTTCTGAAAATAAAGGTCGAGCCATAGGTGTGAGCATCATTTTGTTTTCTGTGTTATATGCAAACTCAGCAAGCTTGTTCAAAGTACATAAAGCTAATAAGCTGGCTTGTTTCACTGAAAAATAATATTCAATTTAGAGGTTACAGTATGTTGCAATTTGTCTGAATTATTTCTGTAAACAAAGGCCATTTTCCCTTCTTCATCACCTTCGCATGGAAAAGCAAACTTCCAAGTATCACAGTCACCGACTTCTTTCATGTTTTTGCTGGCAGGTCCAACTTCATAAATTACCTTTGAAGCAAATTCGAGTGCTTTAGTCTATTGTTCGGCGTTAGTTCGTCAGCATAATCTGGGCATATTTCAGTAAACTTTCTTTGTAACTCAATAAAATTTTCAACTTCATTTTGTTTCATAAACAAATCCTCAGTCGTAGTTCCTGTAATAAAATATTCCTTCTCTAATTTATGATTCGATAATTCAGGTGGAAGGATATCAGCAGACTGCAACATAGAAGCTAATTCTCTCTCTGCAACATCATTATCAGCAGACACCAATAGAGAAGCTAATTCACTCTCTTCAAGCCTAAAGCACCGAGCAATTTCAGCAAGTGTGAGATTATTTTCACTCATTGTCCTGTTGAAAATAAACAAATTGACAATAATTGCCCAACTCAACAATTAAGAATCTACTTAAGTATACTTAATACTTACAAGGTGCCTAGCTTTATGTTTTGAACCTAGCTTATTTTCCAAATTGAAGATTAATTTGTCTATAATTTTTACTAGAGCCTATATAGATATAATATTTTCAATTTGTTTCGCTCACTAATCAATCCGTCCGTGCGTGTGTATACAAAGCTTGAGACGTATACAAAGAGATGAAGATATAAGTAAATCGGTGATTCCCCAACTCCTAGTAGTGTTTCCAAACAAGTTTGAAGGCATAGATAAAGCAAGAGTAGTGTTTCCAAACAAGTTTGAAGGCATAGATAAAACAAGATTATATGTTTAGTCATGGCACATGATTTTAATGACTTTAACATTACTGATCATTTGATGCTTTCTTTTCCCCTTTAAAATTTAAAAATGATCGTGTTTTTTCTGGAATATAATGATGATTTTAAGTAATAAACACTTTAGTATTGTTATCAAAACTTTGTAATACAACACACTCTACAGCATAGATAAACAAGTATAAAGCTCTTCATAGATAAATAAACATAAGAATATGAAGCTCTTCACCTACAGCTTTATACTTATTTATCTATGCTTTAGTTAATATGCGACGAAATTCACTTGACTTGAGAGTTAAAAGAGGAGGGGATATGCTTATTTATCTATGAGGGGTTAAATATTACAGGGAGAAGGATACGATCCAATTTGGACGAGGGATGCGTCCAATTTGAATGATTAAAAAAACATTCGATTTATATTGATTGAGAGAGGTGCTGATTAGTTTTTGGCAGAGGCAGATCCAGCCATTTTGAAGATACAGGTTGAAAAGTAACAAGAATGCAATTTTGTAAGAGCGGAGCGTCAAATTTGAATAATTTAAAAATCATTCGATTCGTGTTCGATGGGGAAACAATAAGCTGATTAGTTTTTGAAAAAGTAGGTCCAGCCGATTTGAAGAAACGGGGTAAAAAGAAACAAGAATTGTGATTTTATGAAAACGAAGCGTACGATTTGAATGATTCAAAAAACATTTGATTCGTATTGATGGGGGACGTACTGATTAGTTTTTGGCAGAGACAGATTTAGCGCTTACGAAGATATGGGGTGAAAAATAACAATAATGGGAATTTACTGATTGTGAGAACGGAGTTTCCGATTGAATGATTCAAAAAACATATCACTATATTGTTACTATCATATTGATATAATGAAGGATTAGTTGAGTTTTTAGGAAGACAAGTCTAGTGGTTTTGAGATTCATCAAAAAAGTAAAAGGATGCTCGAATGCTCTTGCCGGCCAAAATGATAATTACACATACGCACATAAAATTACAAGATATTTTATAGAGATTTTAATAATAATTAAAATATCTGTTTATATTTCTATGGGTTCCGTACCAAATTTGTAATGTTAAAAGATTGAGACGCGGCGTTACGCGATTTGATATTTTGTTTCGAAATCAGCTACGCAGCGCAATTGATTTAAAAAAAAATCAAAATTTTCTGAAAAATTTAAAGCATTTAAAAATTCTGAATTTCGGTTCGGTAAGTTCCAGCAAATTGCCTTAAAGCACGATGCCATAGATAAAAGAAGAGTATGCACGATGCTTTGCACAGGCCTTGCACCACTAGTTCATGCTTATTTATCAATGAGTTTATCTATGCTTTTTTATCTTTTTATTTATTATGCTGATTTTATTATTTGTGTTTATTTATCTATGCTTTCTATACGCTTCTTTTACCTATGGATATAGATAAATAAGCCTATGGATATATATACTCTTCTTTTATCTATGAATTAAGTTTTAGGTCATATACAGTTTTTGTCAAAGTTATTTATTTTTTTATATCTTTTTATATCTATCTATTATTCATCAAGGTGTAAAGTATGTTATTTATCTATGTCAATATTTTTCTTTATTATTTTAATTTTTTTTAATACCTGTTAAAAAATTATTAACCAAACCATGTCAACATGGTTGCCGATTCTTTGAAAACATCAATTCTAGACTTTTCTAATCTCAAATAAAGAATGAGATTAATAAATTCATTAATTTTACAGGAGTTTACGATTGAAAATAAATAATTGATTAACTGTTTTATATATTTGATAACAATAAATATCGAGAAACTTATTATTATATTTTTAAAATATATTATATTAAACAATAAACTTAAAATTATAAATATCAAATAATATAATTTAATCAAAAACTAGTAGTATTAGATCAATATTAAACTGCCTAAATAAACGTTAAAAACAAAAAAGAATTATGCAAAACATATCTGAAAAAACGTTTGGCGGTTTGTGAAAGTTTTGTCGCGTTTGATGTAAACCGCCTTGTCAAATCGTTGGAAACTGTCATGAGATGGCGCATGCGCAGTGTAACAAATCAGAAATGAGTTTGGACGAGTTGTGGATCGTAACAAACTGCCACACCGAACACACCCTACGCTTGAATTTTTAGTGTGTGTTGATACATAGACCTTATACAATTTATGGACTGCTAGTCCCATACATTTCTCAAGTAAAAAGTGTCAAAAGATGTTCTATGGTATGAGGGCATCGAGGGTATTTTGCGGCCGAGATATGTCAAACTCGATCGCTTGAACGTCAAATGAAAGTCCGTGTGTTCGAAATTGTTGGCAAATATTATATAATATCAATTTATGTTGAACTAATGAATGTAATGAACTATTTATTTATTTATTTATTTTAGGTATACAAAGTGTTTAAGGAAAATTAGAAAAAAAATTAAAAAAAAATTATTTACATATTATAAAATTTACTGAAAATAAGAACAGTTGGCTAGAGCTATTATGGGAAATTAGAAAGCAATAATGAAATATTTTTGTTTAAATGTTATATATTTAGTATTGGGGTTTAAAAGCACAATTTTCGTGTGAAGTGGCGTGAAAGTGGTGCATTCTATTTATTAAGTACATTTTACAACAGACCCAAATACATTTAGAAGACATTTTACTCTTTATTAGATTTGTCTGCTACTAACAATTTTAAAACGCGTATTTTTATCCTCTTTTAGGCAAAAAACACGAGCGATCAAACATCTCGTGAACCCAAGTAACTTTAAAATTTAGCGATCGAGAGCATTCGACTAATTTTCGGTTAAAGCTCGTGTTCGTATTTGACATTATCTCGCCGCAAAATTACCCTCGTATGCCCTCATACCATAGAACATATTTTTGACACTTTTATGCGCTCAACTAGCAGTCCATGAAATTGTATAAGGTCTATGGTTGAATATTATACTCGTAGTATGTCTCGCCTTAATATCGATATCTGTCTCACATTTTTCGTATGCCAATGTTGCCTGCACTGTTTGTCTACTTCATACGAAGTGTTTTCCAAGAAGAATAACAACAAATAGCCTATTTTTTACCTTTAAGTGCGTTAAATGGTACAATTAATAGATATATCGTTATTTACTCTTCTCATTAGTCTGTGATCTTCTATTTTAAACGCAATTTACGCGTATTGTGCGCGTATTTCGACTATTTCCATTGTCGATATGGAAGTAAACACTGACGCTGTCAATCTCGGCGTCGGGGAGTCTGAAGCAGAATTAAAGAATTCGAGAAGAAATAAAAGTTTTGATACAAGAGCGAAGTATCAAGTAGTTCTTCAGATAGTGATTCTAATCCCAGTATTAGTTCTGTCACCTCAGTAAGTTCTGCAGATGAGAAAATCGCAGATCAGGTCATAAGAGAGGACGTTCGCCGAGCCCGAACCACGACGTATTCCTCAACATAGGAGTAGTTCCAAATCATATGGATATATGACAAGTTAAATTATTTATTCGTGATACTAGGTTTTTGTAATTAAAAGCAATAATGCGGGGAAAATGTACTTGTCGAAGGCAAAAGGGGTATGGTCAAACACTTCCCAAAATGAGAATAATCTGAATCAGGCTTTTAGAGAATGCAGGAACGTTTTGCTGTTGTTTTCGGTTAAAGAGAGTGGTAAATTCGCAGGTAACCTATTCTAAATATAAATATAATAGAAATATTGGTACTTCGATGTAAACTATGGTAACTCGATGAAAAAAAAACTACGAATTAATGACATATATGTTATATTTACTTCTTTTTTAAATTATTTCTGTCACTTATTCAATATAATATAATATTGTATGTCTTTTTGTAATAAAGGGTTAAAAAAAAACTCTGGTATACTACATTCGGCCACTTACAATTCATTTTCATTTTTATCTTAAGCACCATTTTTCAAGTTCAATGATATTACACAGCTTATCTAGTCTATATATTTTTTAATTTTTATATTCAGTACTTCAAAGGCACCCCTGTCTGTTGAGATATGGATATATATGAAAATGTATATATTGCTAATAAAATAAATAAACAAAAAAAAAGAGATTTGTTTTTAGTAGTTCGGTGTTCCAAGTTACTATAGTTTATCTGGAGTATGCGTTTTATTTATCCTACATATATGTTATAAATTTATATGAATTGAATATGCCAATTTTTTTATCAATGCCATTGTTTAGATAAATATTTCTGTGTTTAAATAATTGTATTTTCTAGAATCAACTGAAACAACAAACAGTGAACTAAGGTGTTATTGCATAAATTTGTTAAAAAAAAAATGTACTCTCAGTGTTTAGTGTTAAAGTAATACTGTTCCTCTCCATGTGACTTTATGTAGTGAACTGAACAAATAATTATAGGATTTGCAAGACTTCAGTGTGAATCTAGACGTGATGTGACTCCAATATCGTGGGTTTTGCCACCTGGTATATCATCAAAAAGCTTTGGAGGTGTTTTCAGAGTCGACTGGATCTGCAGGAAAGAGTTGCCATTCAGTTCTACATTGCATTTATTTAATCCGTGGAATGAAGGCAACCAGTTAAAATTGGCAGAGATGGACAAGAAATCGAACCCAGAGTTGCTGAAGAACTTTGTAGATTGTTTCCGCAAGATGAAGGTATAGGAGATTCTAATAAATTATCGGGAAGTCTATTATCGTTTTGGGTGTTTTAGTCTAGTACAAGTGTGATTATTAAGTGATTAAAAAATCTAGTATGAACATAATGCTGCTATAATTGTGAAAAGTCAGATTGCACAATAGTGATTTGTGACAATATTGAACTATAAAAAATTTCAACATTTGCTAATTTAATATATCACAGTTCTTTTCAGAATTCCACTCATTTGCACAATGCTAATATTTTGGAAGATGTTTTATTTTAAAATTTAATAGTTAAAAACAATAAATTTTCAATGTATAGTGATTTCAAAGAATCTTCAACTATTTATAATTAGTTTACTCTAAATTTCTAGAGAATGTGAAATCCTGATTAGTATAATGTTTTTGATTTTGAAAACATAATTTCATTAAGGAGTTAGGGGTACTCAGAGTCATGAAAAAATGAGAATTTTCAGTATTTCTTTTTGTTATAAATCAAGTCTTTTTACAAAAATAAAAATATGGCTGTATTAAGCAAGGTTTTGACTTGAAATAACAAAATTTTCAAATAAAATATGTAAACATTTCCAAAGTATAGGTGTTTGTGTTGACCAGTTTAAAAACAAGGTCTTTGCATTGAAAATCTAAGTTCTTGGAGATTCGTCTAAAATCGATCAGATAAAAAAAAATAGTTTAAAAATAGATAATCCTGGGCCGGATCGAAGTTTT